AAATAGGTAACTCACAGTTAGGTTACAGATATGATAGCATAGTATAATACTAACAGGTAGTCTAATGTCTATGCAACAGACTACTTAAATTAGACAATGACTAAAGTTATATATGTAACTTGTTGTATATTCTTCATATAACTAAAAACTGTAAGGATTGCTCATGTGTAATCTCATATATCAAACTAATAAAAATCACCTGGCAATATAAGCTACCTTAAAAAAAAAAAAAACACTATAATTCTTAAAATTTTACTAATTAATTCTATTTTAATTATATAACTAACTTTGTTTTATATATAAAAAAAAATATATATAATATTGAATCTGAATATATTCATGAACTTTGAACTGAACCTGAACTAAACCAAATTTTAAGTTCAGATTCAGTTCAGTTCAGGTTCAGGTTCAATGATCTACAAAATTGAAGTTCAGTTCAGGTTCAATGAACCTAGTTCATGAACCTGAACTAAACTGAACTGAACCTAGAAACACTATCATCACTTATTGTTTTAGGTATCTCTCCTTTTTTGGACTTTGCTGGTCCATTGATGTTTATTGAGAAATTCTCTATTTACTTGGTCATCGGTGCTATGTTTTATTTTTTATAGACCGCTAAGCAAGATATCGATGCTAAGCATAATTCCAACCTTTCTGCATGTAATATCATGTTTAATGAAATTCTTGCTAATTGTGATGCCTGACTTACCACTGAACTTGCTGATCGGAATGCTAGATTTGTTACTGATTACTGTGCCAAATTTAACGCTGAACTTACCTTGTGTGATGAAAAACTTACAGCAGAGATCCAAAGAATCTTTACAATGCTTAATACTTCTAATGCAAAATTCAGTGAAATCGAACAAGTTCTTCAAACCTACTATAATAATTTTGGTAGAGTCACAACCGAATTCAAATCAATCAATAGAGATATTTCAACACTCCAAAATGAAATCAACTGATATTATGCCATTGTCCAAGCACGAAGCGTCATTTCTCCAGAGATAAGAATTGAGTCTATCGAGGAAGTAGAACTTCAAGACAATAACTCATCCTCATCCAACCAACAAAGTGATGCAAATCAATCCGAAGCATCTTCTGGTTCAAGCCAACAAGCATTTTCAGATATGAGTTCAGCAATGTGGAATCAGTTTAAGATTATTTTCGATAGGATTATGGCTGAAAGAAGATGTTCTTTTGATGATATGTGTAATGTTGTAATGGTTGATATTCTTAATCTTGGGGTGGGAAAAATTGGTAAAGATTCGATTAAAAATTATTATCGTAAAATCAATGATTTAAGAGGTAGTAACTTAGATAAAATAGGTGCTTGGATCGATAGCAAAACAGTTACACATAATAGTGAGTAGCGGGAAAGGAACTCTCATTTTATGGGTTAGGGCTCGAGATGTTCCTCCCTTGAAACATCCCACTACTCTATCAATCTAAATAATGACTGAAATGCATAAAATTAATGAAAATAATAAAGTTCCGCTCACATCGATCGTAATCACCGCAGTACGTATTATCTGATCATTTTTTTTTACAATGCGTCTTCCAACTTTACTTTCACGATGGAACATTTTCTTCAACCGTATGTATTGAATTTACCTTATCGAATTTTCTTTAGGATGTAAGTCTTATGCCTATTATTCATTTATATAAGGCTTGTCTGGACGTTCCAATTATCAGTTGCCTCCCGAAGTCGGCCATTTTTCAGGAAAAAAGTGGAACGAAATTTAGGTATGGGTATTGCATAAAGAACATCATAGTAACTTAATCACATTATTTTTTATGCTCATATTCTTTGTTTTTACTTACGTCCATGCACATACTTTATTCTAGCCAGCACGGCTCAAAAAGATTTGCAAAAAGAAGCGCAAAATTATATTATCCGCAAAAATTGGGACCTTTATTTGAGTTTACGAGACAAGTGAATGTAGTGACATGATAATAGTGTGGCCGAAGACGTGGCACAAGAAATAAACTCTGAAAAATTAACGTTAATGCGAAATATATATGCTAATCTTATGTTGCACAGCCCCTATGCTTCGGCAAGAATTTCTCCAATATCTTCTGCACGGGACAATATTCTAGTATGGGCACTATTACTGTATATATGCAAAATTCGCGTATAACCATGCACACTGGTTAAAAATAAGTAATCTGTTTAGCGAAACTTTATAATTTTATTGAGCAATTTTGAGTAATATAAACTTAGTTACATGGTAATATGCTAAAAAAAAAAACGCCAATTATTTCATTATTAAAATAACATTATTAAACTGAGTTTACCCAACCTATTTTGCTAATGTTATTTATATATAATAACTTCGTCTATGTCCTCTGGTAGAGGTTTTAGATCATAGAAAAAGTAATCATTAGGTAAGAGTAACCAATCTCGTACCTTCTCAGAATTGTCAACTGGAGCGGAAGCGTACATTTTTCTCCGTAACTTCTCCTGATTCACAAACTCAGTTCGAATTGTCATAAAGAAATTAAATATTTTTGTATAGTAATGAATTGCGTCAAATGAAAACGGAATTAAGCAAGAAACCAGTTCGACAGCCAAGAATTTCTCTTTGCCTATGAGAGAGACTGAAAACAACGTAAGACGATCACCAATAATTTGAATACTATAGGTCTTTATTTCTTTAGCAATTTCGATACTGCAATCTAGATTATTTCCAAGCGTTCGGCAAAGGCTACATACAGACGTCATAAGCAACTTTTTAGCATCTCCGACTGTGTTCTCGTGTAACTTTAAAGGGAGGTCCTGAGACTTCAGTGTTCATTATTTCCAATCCGTCTGATAAACGTATAACAAGTAGATCCGTCTTTCGTGAATTGATATTTTCTGCAAACATATTGTTTGCTTCTTTTATTGAAGCAACATTTTTTTCGATCCAATGATATTTAATATCCGGGAATGCATTTCGGAATGCACGGAAGAAAGGTGAAAGAGATTCCACAATATATGTTTTTTCAGATATTTCACGGTCTAAAACTCTCGGTATTCTGTATCTGAAGTTAGCTACAAAATCTATGAGTACATCCCTTATGAAGCAGTCGAACCTTGCTTCTTCTGTATATTTGTCACCGTTAATAACTGTTTCCAAATGTAGCTAAACATAGTTAAACATTATTAATTATAGCTAAATATTATCAAATATAGTTAAATATTATCAAACATAGTTAAATATTATCAAATATTATTAAACATCATCAAATATCATTAAATATAAATATTATTCAAAATGTAAATCCTAAGGTAACTTAAGAACTATATATGCTACAGATATAATTTATAGCTCATTTTGAAGATCTAATCAAGCTATATCGAATAGTATAACCTAAATCTATTTTTAGCTATTAAGAATTCGAAAAAAATACTAATATATAAATCTAAATATTAAATATAATATTATAATTAATAATTAAGAAAATATGCTAAAGTTTATTTCATAACACTACTTTACTAACTTAGAGTTTCTACTATGCAGGTCCTCTGCTTATATATCAAATACAAATTTATTCATATAATATTACTATCATATTTCTAATATCTAATTGACTTAATACAATACTATTTTTTATAAGGTTTTGTTACATTCTCTAGGACTTCCTTTTAGAAACAAGTAGAGTTTTTTGT